GTGTGCATGAATCCATCTGCAGAACCTAATTGTTATGCATTTCTCTATTTCCAGTGACACAAGAAAATTCTAATTATCAGAATAAATCACACTGGGGCTGCATTATTTGAATTACTGGGATCCACAGGTTACAAGGATCATCAACTTCTAGTTATTTTTACACATTTAATGTGGTAGTAAAGCTATATGTACTATAATCACACAGCATGCACACGTCAAACATTATTTACATCAACCGAGTCCAGATCATGTCATGCATATCACTGCAAACTGTACTAAAAGGTGCATTTTGGATATGAAAAATGTTATTGTCATGTTTTGAATTTATGGAATACATGAAGGATCATTGTGTAACACTTGGATCTGTAGGAGTCTGTTGTCAGAAGGTATAACACACACCACAATCTAGGACTGTCTGTGCACAAAGCTGAAAGAATGTAATTTCCTGAAAAACAAGTTCCACAGTACTGATAAGGACTAAAGTGGGTATAACCGCTAAGAATGAAAATGACTGTGGCTCCAGGTTTTTTGTTACCTGAAGACCAGCAAATATACTTTAGACTCGGCATTTGCACTCACCGGCCACTTTATTTGGTACACCTGTTCATTTGCTTGGAAACACAAATTGCTAATCAGCCAATCACAAGGCAGCAACTCAATGCATTTAGGCATCCAGATGTGAAGAAGACGACTTGCTGAAGTTCAAACTGACCATCAGAATGGGGATTAAAGGTGATTTAAGTTCCTTTGAACATGGCATGGTTGTTGGTGCCAGATGGGCTGGTTTGTGTATTTCAAAAACTGCTGATCTGTGATTTTCACGTACAACCATCTCTGGGGAAATGAAGACTCATCAGACCAGGCAACATGTTTCCAATTTTCTAATGTCCAATTTTGGTGAACCTGTGAGAATTGTAGTCTCCATTTCTTGTTCTTAGCTGAAAGGAGTGGCACCTGGTGTGGTCTTCTGCTGCTGTAGCCCAGCTGCTTCAAGATTTGACGTGTTGTGCATTCAGAGATCGTATTCTGCATACCTTGGTTGTAACGAGTGGTTATTTGAGTTACTGTTGTCTGTCATCTCAAACCAGTCTGCCCATTCTCCTCTGACATCAACAAGGCATTTTCTTCCACACAACTGCCACCCACTGGATAATTTCTCCTTTTCGGACTATTCTCTGTAAACCCTAGAGATGACTGTGCATGAAAATCACAGCAGATCAGCAGTTTTTCAAATACTCCAACCAGCCTGTCTGGCACCAATAACCATGCCACGTTCATAGTCACTTAAATCCCCTTTCTTCCCCATTCTGATGCTTGGTTTGAACTTCAGCAAGTCATCTTCACCACATCTAGATGTCTAAATGCACGGAGTTGCTGTCATGTGATTGGCTGATTAGCAATTTGTGTTATCAAGCAATTGAACAGGTGTACCTAATAATGTGGCCGGTGAGTGTATATACAGGCATGGAAAAAATGCATCAGTTCAGCCTGGTTATATATTAAAATGCATTTCCAAACATTCAGCACACTGCACACCAGGCTGTTTACACTTACCGCTCTCCTCAGGCCTCTGAAAGAAGCCGCTCTCTGCTTACATACATGCACCTCACTCACGCTATAATGGAGTAGTTCCCTGTCTAAATGGGTACACTGAGACCCACTGAATCCATATGCTCCAGGCAATGGGCATTGAGGGAGTACAGTCTAGCAATGGAATACGGAAAAAAAAATATATGGCGAAATTAAAATTGTCAATTACATTATAAAATTTCTTACTAGATTACACACAAGTATTCCTTCAAAAATACCAAACATTTACACAATCAAAAGCGGTTTCAGTGCTACTATACTGGTACAAAATGTGCACTTTTTACCAGTTTCCCGACTAAAATTGGGCTGAGATTAGGACACATGGCAAAAATTCCCTTACAAAAAGGAAATCGGTCTGTTCCAAAAGGAATATGTTAACAAAAAGGATACTAATAGGACACATTTCACAATGGCTGCTATTTACCATCTAGCCGTCTTTACTTATTGCTGCAATTCTTTGCTCTGCCCCTTGCTACATGAAGACTCAAGTCTTCCTGCTGCAGAAGGGAAAATCTCAATCATCCTGCCTTGATTACCAAAATGCAAAAAAATGTAAAACCCTGGCTGCAAAATGAAGCACCCTTCTAATCAGTGTGGCAATTGAAAGTACTTGAAAACAGATTTATAGAAATATAGTATAGGAGCCCTTCAGTTTTCTATGGGTTAACCACAAAGTGAGCATTTTCAAAGTTACTGTGGGGGAGATTTACTAAAGCTGGTTTACTCAGAATCTGGTGCACCTGTGCATGGTAGCCAATCAGCTTCTACTCTCAACTGGTTCAATTAAGCTTTAGCAATAAAACCTATAAGCTCACTGGTTTCCATGCAGAAGTGCATGAGATTCTGAGCGAACCAGCTTTAGGAAATAAACCCCGATATGTCTACTAGAGTGCAGGTACATGTACTCTGTATGGGAAGTTCTTTTACTTTCACAGCTGACCAGTTCCCTGCTCTCGTTGTGCATACAGAAGCAACAGCAGCATACACTAGAGCAGGGTTTCTCAACCAGGGTTCCTCTAGCGGTTCCTTGAGAAATAGGCAATTTCTGTCTCTCAGATGAGTAACCACTGACACCAATGAGCTTTTTCCTCCCAATGACCACACTTAAGGAGCATTCTTCCTAATGACCATCACACTAATGTACTGAGAGCTGTATATGTAATTAGTAGAGGTTCCCTGTAGCCAAAAAATATTTCAAGGGCTCCTCCACATTACAAAGGTTGAGAAAGTCTGCACTAGAGCATGTGAAAGCATTTTTTTCACCTTTTAGAGCTGTAGATGAAATCAGGTTAGTTACAATCATTTAAACTCAAAGGGTTCAGAGTTCTATTGACACAGTTGGGCCCATTATCACCAGCAGGCATGCATTAAAGTGCACATAATGGGCACCTGCTGGTGCCTATCTATTCACTGGGACTGCATTGGACGATTCTGTCCAACAAGGCCAGTGACTGCACCTAGCCACTGAGAGCCACAGCAAAAATCAGATTCCTGTTGCTAAAATTCACACCGGTCCTAATCGCTGGTATGAATGTAGCCTAATACTAAATAGATACTAAAGTAAGGGATTTTTTTCACCTTTACACAGGCTTCACAGAGGCCCTTCGGTAAACAAATTTTTTTTGTGCCAGAGAATGGCAGAAAGCAATATATATTTGGTTAAGTGAATCAGAGATCCAATAAAGCTTGATTAGCTGCCACTCAACGAAAACCATACAGTACAGCTAGCCAAGTAAAAAACAGCCCATGTTATCGTCCTCCCCTACATTAGCTTTTAAACAAAACTCAGCTTTTGAGAGAGAACAATGTCAGGATCTTCCAGGGATCTAACTTTTTCTACTTTACAAGTTTCTCTCTAAACATGCCATTCCTTTCATCTTGATAAGGCTGAGTTGGGGGTGCTGCCATGCTTAGACATGCTGAGCACAAGAATCTCTGTCTGTTTCTGAAATTTTACAGACTGCGGTCAGAGCTTGCTTCTGCTTTTTTGCAGTTAAATATTACCCAGCTTCCCCAAATGATTAACTAAACTATAAAGAAAATACTTTGGCTAGCTTAGCCTGGTGAAACCATTTAGGCATTTTCTATCTTTTCATCTTCTTTGAAGAATTATGTATTAAAATGTTTAACGTGAAAATCTATGTATATGTGCCATCAGGTCTATTCCATAAATACATACTAGTGGGTCTGAAATATTTTAATTGGCCCTCTGGGCAAACGGTTACATTCAGAATTTAAATACATTGGTGCTTCACCTGCCAAAAGATTTGTAATGTTGGCCAGCCATTCTTTTCCTGAATGAGCTTTACAGCACCTGTGTCAGCAACCTGCTTATAGGACGGAGAAGATGCTGCTAATTCATTGTATAATTAGAGCAGCAGAGGTGAAATTGGAAGCCACAGCGCTGGACCAGAAAATAAGAGTCTTGCCTGTCTGGCTATACAGTGTTCAAGAAATACACCAACAAAAAAAGCCAGTCCTTGGACAGGAAAACCAGTAAATGTGTACTGTATATATAAAACAACTGTGTATAAGAGGCTGCCTGTTAATGATTCCGTTAACCTAGACTTTTGCAAGTGGTTTTCTTCAACAGATAACAAAAATAAGCAAAATGCAAAAATGAAAGTTTGAATGCAAACAAACATTCAGTACATCTCTGAAATTTGTATGGCCTGAGAGGCGTTAGTCTGGTTGCCTTTTGAGAACTATTAAATCACTCCCACTGTAAGATCTCTACAAAACAAAGGCTAATCATTCTGTAGCCCAAAATGAGAGCAAAAAGGAAATGTGCAGAGTACACAGGACAGCTCTAAATCTCCAAGATTAACAGGTTTTTGTTTTTTTTTTGCACTTACCACACATGTGTAACAAAAGGTTTATATATATATATATATATATATATATATATATATATATATATATATATATATATATATATATATATATAGATAGATAGTAATATTTAACAGACCAATAAGGAAGAAAAGGAAAAAAGGTTATTAGAAGACAGATAAGCTGAGGACAGCTAAAATGTGTTATCAATGAAGGAATAGTGGGAGCTCAAAGAACATATTTAATCATAGAGACCACTTTGGTACAAAGTCCATCAACGCAACTGGCACAAGTGTTAATGTCTACAGAGGCAGGACATTTTAAACTGAAGGTCACTAGGTTGCTTGATGGTTGGTTGTTTTTTCCATAGGTAAAGTTTTGGTGAAAAGTAAAAGCGGTACAACAAAAGCGCACACTAAACTACAGACATTTGCCCAAAGTGCCTCTCCACTGAGGGTCAAATTCAGACATACATTGTGCATAGAAAATACACACAGATTCTGTCTTAACAACTTTCCTTTGAATGATGAACCTAGCTTAGAAATGATACAGAGTAAGCAGGACTATTCTATGCTTACCTTGGGTTTCTTTCCAAAAAGCCACAACTTCCCCTTAGCCTTGCCCATTGTAATCTTGGGGTCATTCCGCATTACTTCCTGTTTTGGGGTACTGATGGTACCATCTGAAACTGTCCTGTAAATATGTTGACTGTAATCTTCAAACGGGTAGTCCCCAGGTGGTTCAAAACCAGATTTAAAGCAGTCCACCACAATCTGAGAGTCCTGTATCAAAATACATTGGTTAATGATATATCCAGAAAACATTAACTTTTACATTGTGATAAGAATTCCATAGGTACAGCATTAGTGTAAAGCACAATAGGATCTTTCTGCATTCCATTATGTTTCTTGGTCAGCCGGTGACTCCACATGTACTAACACAACACATCCAACCTGTCAAAGTCAAATGCTATTCATCTGAATGGAATGTGGTTTCGGCACAACATAGCTATACACAGTATAGTAATGTATCTGAACCGTAGCCTTACAAGTCTGCAGCCGTATTTCTGTTATGGGCTAGAAGAATGTTTTTTTTTCCTGCTCAAATCTCATACGTAGGTCCCTCCTAAAGCTGAACTAAAAGGGTTTAAAAGTAAAGTATGTCTCTTTTACTCAAACTTTCTGCCTTACCTACAATTTCTTCTGAATGTACTTTGCGTCCTACATGCATAGTTTAGTGAACATTCTCAGCATGTCCTGGGTCCCAGGATAAATTAATGTCTGCATGCATGTGTGGGGTTACAGCATCTTGGGCCGACCAATCAAGCTGGCCAAAGTTGCTGTACTCAGAAAAAGAATAGGTCACTATGTCCGTAATTGTGATCGATCGAAAATGGAGTTTGCGACCATTGCATCACTGGAGAGCGGAGCTTTGGTAGTTAAGTGTGCCATTTTATGCAAACCAACATTATGGCAAAATTCCACCCATGTAAACTTTAGCACTGTGTTAAGGCTAGAGCCCATAGCTGCCTGCAATAGATTCTGGCTCCCCAAGCTGATGGAATTCGAAATCTGGACATATTAAGACTGATTAAAGGCGAAGTTCACATTTAGTGAAAAATAATGAATACACATTTTTGCAGAGGAAAAAAATGTGCATTTATGATTTTATTTTCCCCACAGGAGCCTGAAAAGCATTTTGCACCCACAATCAGTGGATTGCGGGTGCAATGCCTGGCTCCTGAAGATACATTCTTCAGCTTTCTGCCTGTACATCTGTACAGGCTCTCAGTTAGAAAGCCACAGAAGTGTCAGTCAAACAAGGAGTACACTGGCAACTATAAGACCGTCTGCTGCGGTGGCAAACAGGACAAGTAGTTTATCCATTCACAGATTGCTTTGAATGGATGACAAGCCTGTGCAGGTGGAGCCCTGCACAGCTCTGCCAACTTTAAATGTGACAGCAGCTGCGCAGGAGGGAGGATTTTGGAGGGACCTCTAAATACAGGTGTAAAGTGTTCTAAAAGTGAACGCATCCTTTAACTCCTCGCCTGGCCTATTGTAAGATGACGACCGACCGGGATCCCTATTATCCTGGAAGGATGTCCTATAACGTCTTCCCAAGATCACGCCACGGGCGCGTTCCAGCATGACTTGTAAACCAGCTGTGTCCACCAGACACGATGACAGATCACTACACTGGCCTGCTGCATGTGTCATGATTGCTGTGACCAATCACAGCACATCACATGACAGTTGTAAACAATGAATGGCTTCCTTTCATGCCATTCATTACGTACAACTGTGCTGCTAGCTGTGATTGGTCACATGTACAGACTGGGCCAATCACTGCCCATCTGTAGCATGTTATCAGCTGTGGCCAATCAAAGCTGACCACAACAAAAACTGCTGAATGAATCCGTTTCATTCAGTAAAAATGCTTGCTTATACCAATGAAATTCGTTGATATAAGCAATCAATGTGTATATAAAATAAAAAAAATCCTAATCACTTGCCCAGAGTACAATGTTACAATGGTAACATCGTATTGCTCTGACCACAGTAGAGAAAGAATAGAAAAAACAAATTTTAAAAACGTAAAAAAAAATCTGCATAAAAAAAATATCACTGTATAAAACTCACTGTGCCTCTTACCAAGTATCTCAGACTGTCTACTTTCCAAAAACACAGTCATTTGAGGGATATTTATACTGTCCTGGCATTTTGGGGCCTCAAGAAATGAGATGGGCCATCAATACATCAGTATTTATCAATTTTTCGATCTACAGTGGATATAAAAAGTCTACACAACCCGGTTAAAAATATCAGGTTTTTGTGATGTAAAAACAGATAAAGATAAATCATTTCAGAACTCTTTCCACCTTTAATGTAACCTATAAACCGTACAACTCAGTTGAACAACAAACTGAAATCTTTTAGGTGGAGGGAAGTAAAAATAAAAAAATTAAATAATATGGTTGCATAAGTGTGCACACCTTTAAACGAATACTTTGTTGAAGCACCTTTTGATTTGATCACAGCACTCAATCTTTTTGGGTATGAGTATCAGCATGGCACATCTTGACTTGGCAATATTTTCCCAGTCTTCCTTGCATAAACACTCCAAATCTGTCAGATTGCGAGGGCATCTCCTGTGCACAGCCCTCTTCAGATCACCCCACAGATTTTCAGTCTTATTCAGGTCTGGGCTCTGGCTGGGCCATTCCAAAACTTTAATCTTCTTCTGGTGAAGCCATTCCTTTGTTGATTTGGATGTATGCTTTGGGTCGTTATCATGCTGAAAGATGAAGTTCCTCTTTATGTTTAGCTTTCTAGCAGAAGCCTGAAGGTTTTGTGCCAATATTGACTGGTATTTGGAACTGTTCATAATTCCCTCTACCTTGACTAAGGCCCCAGTTCCAACTGAAGAAAAACAGCCCCAAAGCATGATGCTGCCACCACCATGCTTCACTGTGGGTATGGTGATCTTTTGGTGATGTGCCGTGTTTTTGCACCAAACATCTTTTGGAATTATGGCCAAACAGTTCAACCTTGGTTTCATCAGACCATAACACATTTTCTCACATGCTTTTGGGAGATTTCAGATGTGTTTTTGCTAAATGTATCCGGGCTTGGATATTTTTCTTCATAAGAAAAGGCTTCCGTCTTGCCACTCTACCCCATAGCCCAGACATATGAAGAATATGGGAGATTGTTGTCACATGTACCACACAGCCAGTACTTGCCAGATATTCCTGCAGCTCCTTTAATGTGCCTGTAGGCCTCTTGGCAGCCTCCCAAACCAGTTTTCTACTCGTCTTTTCATCAATTTTGGAGGGACTTCCAGTTCTTTGTAATGTCACTGTTGCACCATACTTTCTCCACTTGATGACTGTCTTCACTTTTCCATGGGATCTCTTATGCCTTGGAAATTTTTTTGTACCCTTCTCCTGACTGATGCCTTTTAACAATGAGATCCCTCTGATGCTTTGGAAACTCTGAGAACCATGGCTTTTGCTGTAGGATGCGACTAAGAAAATGTCAGGAAAGACCTACTAGAACAGCTGAACTATATTTAGGGTTAATCAGAGGCATTTTAAATGGCAGGTGTGTACAGACTCCTATCAAACATGATTTTGAATGTGATTGCTTAATTCTGAACACAGCTACATCCCGTTATAAGAGGGTGTGCACACTTCTGCAACCACAAAATATTTTTTTTTTTGTTTACTTCTACCCCCCCCTAAAAGATTTCAGTTTGTTTTTCAATTCAGTTGTACAGTTTATAGGTCACATTAAAGGGGGGAGTTCTGAAATTATTTATCTGTCATTTTTTTTTACATCACAGAAACCTAACATTTTAACAGGACATGTATAGACTTTTTATATCCACTGTATACCATAATTTGTAGACTAACTTTCCTACCAACTAAACACTGATTTGAGTTATTTTCACCAAAGAAATGTAGCAGAATACATTTTGGCCTACATTTGTGTAGAAAGCTTTATTTGCAGAATTTTATAACAAAAATGAAGATACATGCATTTTTTTCAACATTTTAGTTTGTCAGTTTTGAATGCATTTAGTCAGTTTAACCACTTTGTGACCATGCACTGTAGTCTTACTGCTACAGTGCAGGCCAGCTGTGCAGAATCACTTAAATATGTGTGTGTGATTTTTGCCTGAGTAGGGGGTGAGCGCCTGTTGACCCGGCTGTGCTGTTACTGACCCCAGCACATGGCAATCAGTGGGTCCCAGCCAATGATTTATGGCCAAGACCCACGATCGCTGGAGTGGATGATGGAAGAGAACTCGAATTGCAAACACAGAGCTCTATACTGACAGCGACAATGTGCCAGTTTTTATCTCCCTGCAAAGCAGGGGAATAAAAATCGGCACATCAGCACAGTACACACATTAACATTACACATGGCTAGGCATACAGTTATGATTACCCCTCAATGTTAACCCCTTCCCAGTCAGTGCACTGTGTATATTATTAGCACTGATCACTGTATTAATGTCACTGGTGATGTCAGTGTCAGTCAGTTCCCACAAAGTGTCAGTGTCAAACTGCCTGCTACACTATCACAGTCCCATTGTAAGTCGTTGATCACCACCATTACTAGTTAGAAAAAAAAAAATAATCCAGTATATATCCCAGTGTTTGTAGACGCTATAACGTTCATGTAAACCAATTAATATATGCTTATTAGGATTTGTTTTTACCAAAGACATGTAGAAAAAAAAACATTTTGGCCTAAATTCATAAATAATTTTGATTTCATTTTTTATTGGATAGGTTTTATAGCAGAAAGTAAAAAATATTGTTTTGGGTTTTTTTTCAAAATTTTCTTTTTCCATTTATAGCACAAAAAAATAAAAAAAAACCCACTGGTGATTAAACACCACCAAAAGAAATCTCTATGTGAAAAAAATTATAAAAATTTCATAGGGGTACAGTGTTGCATGACTGTGCAATTGTCAAAGTGCGACAGCTGTGAAAAGTGAAAATTGGCATGGGCAGGAAGGGGGTAAAAGTGCCCAGTAGGCAAGTGGTTAAAGCTGTCACAAATGGATCAAATGAATTGGCTCAGCAGGAACTGTCTGAATTTTGATCCATGCGTAGCCCTCTCTTATCAACAGAAGCCGATCGTTAGACCAGCTTCTGTCAAACTGTCCCACTGGAAAACCAGCATTCTGTCAGCCAATGGGCTGCAGTTCTGATTACTGTATTCTGACAGCATGGGACTCCTGCTATCAGGATACAAAGATACAGTGGAGAGAATTTCTGAGCCATTTGTTCAGCTTAAGTATATTCTTTTGTTGTAAAACTGCTTCTCTAGCTTCTAAACAATACGGAAGTTTAGTTCAAGTCCACATACAGTATATGCAGGACCAACAGTTTAATTCACTAAGCTATAAAGTATTTGTTTTACTATAATATCAAGCATTTGTTACCTGCTATGATTTTTATTTTCAACCATATGATTGCCATTTACAGCCCTCACTACTGAAAATAATGGCTATTATGGAAAATGATTAATCTAGCTCAGTAAATTGAGACTAAAAAACGATTAACGATCTGACAGTCCAAACCTAAGCCAAGCTTGGCAACTAGACCTCTCATCATCCGTATCAAAGACAGCGTCACTGCAAATCCTAGAAATAGATATTACAATAGGTACACATAAATCTTTTCTGATACAGCAGGAACCAGAGAGTTAGTGCCCTTGGTAGTTAACAGATCTAGACATTTTCTTCTGCACTAAAAGACTGTGTGGGAGAGCTTGTGATGAGTAATTCATGTATGCCAGCACAGTGCACTCAAGTGGTAGGGCAAAAAGTGCATTTCCAATCAGAGAAAAAAGGAATAGCATTTCAGGACAAAGACAAAAAAAGTGTGAGTCTTCAGTTGGATGTAAACCCTTTTTCTTGTGATATCTGGAGGTGCTGCATACCATTTAGAGTGATATTCTTGCATATAATAGATACATGTAATATTTATTCACAGATGTTACATTACATCAGGGATTTTTATAGAATCTATTTAAAGAACATGTAAAGAGCCGAACTGCCTACACATGAAAAGGCCTTGGGTCTCTTTCTATTCCTGCTTTTTTGTTTTGCACCTTTACCAAGCTCAAGTAACAATTTTTTACAACATGGGGGTCATCTACTATGACGACTTCTAAGATGCATGTATACATTTCTAAATGTGATTACATGTAGTAATATCCTTTGAATTCTACAAAGTGGGATACAATAAACATTTGACAAAGTATATATACACACACCATTTAGTAAGTTTTTTATTTATATTTAAAGGTTTATTGCTGTACTTTACTTTTGGAATCGGCAACATTCACCACTTTTAGATGTATTCACTAATATGGTTTAATGTTCTCTTGTCCCTGATGAAATAAGAATTATGAGCCACCAAAACACAACTGCTTTTACTTTCAAATCTTTCATAAAAGGTTATTAAAAGCGGAGTTCCAGTCAGTTTTGTGTTTATTCAAAGTCAGTAGCTACAGAAATACTGCTACAGGGCGGCACGGGGTGCGCAAAATCATATATATATATATATATATATATATATATATATATATATATATATATATATATATATACATACATACATCTATACATATATACACACACACACATACATACATATACATGTGATTTTGCAGTTCCGGGCAGGGGGCGCATGCGACCTGCGTGCGCCCTACCTGCGCCACCAATCGCAGCCTCGGCTGTCAATCACCGGGTCCCAGCCAGTGATTACTCACCGGCATCCAGTGATCGCCGAGTAATACCAACGGGGTAAACAACACAGTTCTCTCTCGTTAGATCCTGTACACTGCTTTGTATGGTTCTGCATAGCAAAACCATAAAAAGCAGTGTGCGTACAGTGGAAAGCACACTCACAGCATACTGTAAAACAGCACACATTTAACCTTTTGATCACCCCAGATGTTTACCTGTTCCTGCCCAGTGCCATTCTATTAGCACTGATCACTGTATTGGGTGTCACTGGGGATGTCAGTGACCCCAAGTCAGTTCCCCCCAGTGTCAACATGCCCGCCGCAGTCCCGCTATAAGTCGCTAATCGCCGCATTACTAGTGAAAATGTTTTTTTATTTGAAAAATTCCAGTATATATATGCCGCCATTTGTAAACGCTATAACTTTCAAGTAAACCAATTTATTTACACGTATTGGGATTTTTTTTTTTTTTTTTTTAGCAAAAGACATGTAGCAGAATACATTTTAGCCTAAATTTATGACAAAATTTGATTTCATTAATTTTTTTTTTATTGGACACGTTTAATAGCAAAAAGTAAAAAATTGTTTTTTTCTCAAAATTGTAGGTCTTTTTTTTATTTATAGCGCAAAAAATAAAACTGCACAGGTGATCAAATACCACTGAAAGAAAGCTCTTTTTTGTGGGGGAAAAAAGGACGTAAATTTAATTTGGGTGTAATGTTGCATGACCACGCAATTGTCAGTTAAAGTAACAAAACCGTGCAATGCAAAAAAATGGCCTGGTCAGGAAGGGGAGGTAAATCCTCTGGAGGGCAATTGGTTAATAAACACACTCACCTGTACCAGAGTACGATGTGCTCACCCGTGCCATCCCTTCTCTGCTCTTCTCTCCTCGGCGCCAGCATCACAACTGTGGGCACCGGGCTGCGACAGCTTGCAGCTTCACAGCCAGGTGCCCGCTGCGTATTTGATTGTTCCAGCAGTCTTCTGGGACCTGTGAAGGTTCCCAGGAGACACCGGGAGATAGGAGGAGGAACTTGGACCTGTCAAAAACAGGTATCTGCTTCCCCCCCAAAAGGCGCCAAATATGGCAGTGGAGGAGTTAGGGGGAGGAGGCAAACAAGCGGAACTTCAACTTTTGAGTAGAACTCTGCTTTAAATCTATACTGTATTTGTTACTCTTACTCTTCACATTTACTTTTGGAGTAATCCAAGGACCTATAGAAACAGCTCATATGATAGAAATTTGCCACTTAAACTGCAAAACCACAGCTGAATATACTCATCTTTGGGTTCAGTGCACCACCATTACTATTTTTATAGGGCTTTATGACCTTTTATAATGCACAGCATATTGTCCCTCACAGCCCCACTAGCTAATAAAGCAGATTAAAATAAGCACATTCACCTAATTTTTCGATTGCATTCCAGACATATATATATGATATATAAGATGTGCGGACTGACAGTTTAGCAGTTCCTATATTAGCTGACAAAGTGCCATCTTAATCTACATGAGATCTGTGAATCCCTGTGCAATTCCCAGACACTCACCCTGCGCTCATCTACAGACTTGGCAGCCTGTACCATTCCTTCTAAACACTTGGAGATAATTGGGATAACTTTACGCTCTGAATCAGCAAAACCTTTGTAACACTCGCTCAGCTTCACAGTCCTCCGTTCATCCATTTCTTGAAGATGCTGTGAAAGGAAAGGGGTTGCATCAAACATTAAAGTGCCACTATGGTGGAAAGCACAGATTTTAAAAAATTATGATTATTTCATAACACCATTCTTCGTACAATGAACATTACTTCAGGACAAAAACCTGATTTAGGTGACATGCTAAAATTTAATAAGGCAAAGTATAATGTGGAAAATGCTAAATTCCAAGCAGCCAATCAGTGAGTAGCTTTCATTATGTACTAAAGGTCCTCTAAGCAATTAGGCAAGCATAAACCAATGATTCTGTAGCAGTCTAAGTCGAGGCCATAATAAACTAATTCCACCGCAGCTGAGGACTAGGAGGAAAATGTCAACATACTTTTCAGCCAAAGCAAACAGACTGCTGACATCAATTTCCACAATGCCAAGCTGTTGCAGCAAGTGGTCTAATACCAGGTTTAAAGGATAAGTTCACCTTTTGGACAAATATAAAAAATGCACATTTTTTGCAGGTAAAAAAAAAAAATGTGCATTTATTTTTTTTGTCCAAAGGAGCCTGGAAAGCATTGCACCAGCGATCAGTAGATCGCTGATGCCATGCAGGTCTCCTGCAGACCTGTCAGAATATCTGCTTGCCGTACGGGATGTTCGGTCATGCAGGTAAACGGACAGGAAGCTTCAAATGAACTACCACAGCACTCCCCTGCGCTGTGGTAGTTAATTGAAAACTATAAGCCCACAGCCGCTAAGGCTATGGGGACTTGTAGGGACTCAGTCACAGAACTCTATGAATGAGTGATGTGGCTGTGTGGGCAGAGCCCCACAAGGCCGTGCTGTTTTCAAATTTGACAGATAGTAAGGGGAGAAGTCTCCCTGTACTATCTGTCAGAGGGAAGAGGGGCAGCAGGCGCGGCTAAAGCTGTGGGAACAAGTTACAAGTTCCACCATAAAAACGGGTGAACATGTAACATGTTCCAAAGGTGAACTTATGCTTCAAGCCACACAACCTTAAAAAAAAAAATTCCTGTGTTGATGCATTATACTGATGGACAGGTAAGTTTATGCTTATTCCATCACTGCTACCCACCACACGTGAGGTAGATAGGGAATTATTTATTCCAGAACAAATTAACTACTGATCAAAGAGTTTGACACAACTGTCAATTAATGCTCTCATATAATCCTAGCCTTTCTTGGACAATAAAATAATGTACCAATTATAGAGGAAAGGGCTACAGCCTGTAGAATTCAACAAATAGCGAGTGAGCTCCATGGTTTCTTGTAATCAGGTGAAAAAAGCCAACATTCACCATGTCAGACACTGGGCTGTATAAACATATATTTAGGTCAGAATCCTATACCTCCCCATGAAACCCTGCTCTCCACAAAATCTAAACATTTGGTAGATCGTTCTTGTCTGAATACAAAAAAAAAACGATACCAAGGAACTGAATGAAGACCAATATCAGTGTAGTTTAGGAGAACTAAAAAGGTAGACAATCAATTTGCTTTCAAAGTTTGTCATTTTATGCTACATACAAGTGGATGTAAAATATGTTGCCTTTACTTTCAGCAAGCTGTTGAAAATATAGCACAGCAACCATGGCAAAAATATGACTTGGCTGCAGTTAACAGGTATCCACAGTTTTATAAACAGGAAGCCTTTAAGGAAAGTCATTGTTCAAAACATCTGCTAATGACGAAGAAAAATGCAGTATTATGAGAGGAAATGTGAAACTCCCTCAAACCTCTCACAGCACAAGATACATTCCTAAACATTCACTTTAAAATAGAGAATATTATGGCAGTTCTATTTTATATACAATATTTAACCTCTTCCAGACCACGTAGCATATACGTATACATATATAAGGCAGCAGGCAGAGTGGGCCTTAAAGCCCAGCAAATGCACATATGTGAGAAGCATTCTCCCAGCACACTAAGCCGTCATGGGGGATTTTAACTACCCTGAAACTGACTGGAGTATTGCACTGCTGAAACAGTAAAATGATGAAAATGTATAAAGCCGATACCCCGGTGATCGCTGAGTATCTCCAACAGAAGAGAGTCCTGTGTATAAAGCACAGATCTCTCCCGTCAGCTCTTGTACACTGCTTTGTATGGCTCTGCATAGCACGGATCACAGTGCTGCACGCTCCCTGGGAAGCGGGGAGGACGTTTATAAACTGCCACCTGCCCCTGCACTGCTCCCATCCGGCCGTTTATATACATGGGCCAGACGGGAAGTGGTTAGAGAGCAGACCTCTGTCATACCTAAGCCACTGTTTGTAATTTAGAGATTCCCTAATGGTTGGAATGGTACCACTGGATTGGCGTAAGACGAATGTGGTGCTTATATTTAAAAAGGGATCAAAGTCTTTATCAAGTAATTACAGACCGAGTAATTTAACTTGTATAGCCAGGAAGATACTTGAGAGTTCAATAAAAGACCATACAGAAGCATTTTTACTAGAAAATATTTTAAAAAACAGACAACAGATTCACGAAAGACCGAATTTGTCAAAACAAATCTGATTTCTTTTTATGAGGAGACAAGCAAAAACCTAGGCAAAAGGGGTAGCTGTGGACACAGTATACTTGGATTTTGCCAAACCATTTGACGCAATTCCCCAAAACAAGGCTAATCTGTACATTAAGGTCTACAGGCTTAGAAAATTCAGGTTGAAGATGGCTTGAAAACTGGCTAAAAAAATGTATTCGAAGAGTAGTGAATGCTGATCTAAAGGTAAGGATAATCTGATCTTTAAAAATAAATGCACATTTTTTTTTGCAGGTAAAAAAAAACGTGCATTTACTATTTTTTGTTTTAGAAACCTGGAAAGCATTGCACCAACTATCAGCAGATTGCTGGTGCCATGCAGGTCTCCTGAAGACTGTCAGTGTAATTTTTCTGATGGGGGAGCAGGTCCTACAGCAGGGCTCATAATTTCGAGTCTAGACCTACTAGCCAGGCACAAACCTTACTCTCCACCAGTTGCCCCACCCAACCTTGCCCAGGTCCACCTCCAACCCTACCCCCGGACTGTCCCCCAACCCTGTCCCCTTAAAGCTTATGAAATTACATTTTTCTTTAGAAAAAAAAAAAAAAAGAAAAAGAGTCCAAAATATAAAACTGTACACAGTAATGTATATCCCAGCTCCCCTGTACTCCATTATAGTGATATGACATGTATACAGTAATGTAAATCCCAGCTTCCCTGTACTCCATTATAGTGATATGACATGTATACAGTAATGTAAATCCCAGCTCCCATGTACTCCATTATAGTGATATGACATATATACAGTACTTACTCCTAGTCCCTCCAAGTCCCCCGCGGCAGTGGAGAGGGTGTCTCCTCTCAGCGGAGGAGAGCAGACCTCTCCTGCACCTGTCCCCTCAGCGGCGGTGCCGCAGAAGCCGGAAACCGGATGTTTTAAACTGGAACTCGGCTTCACAATGAGGCTTGGAGCGCAGGTGCAGTCGCTCCATGCTTCATCTGTGCTCGCTGCTCACCACAGAGGAATTTCTCCTCGCATTTGGAGAGTGGCTTTTTCAAGCCCCGTGCTACGGGAACATGTTACACCTTGAATATGGGTGTAACATGTTACGAAAGGTGAACTTATCCTTTAACAGTGGTGTACCGAGAGATTCGGTGCTGCAACCTTTATGTTTTAACATTTATAAATTATATAGTCTCTGGGATTAAAAGTACAATTTCAGTATTTGTAGATGACTCCAAGTTATGCAGTGGAACTGTCTTCAACTTAAAAGCCGATCTCAGTGCACTTTTTAAACGGGAAACTGTGGCGAAAGAGATTTAATGCTGACAAATGTAAAGTTATGCATTTGGAGGCTAAAAACATGCATGCATTGAACATAGGAGGAGGAGAACAGCTGGGGGAGTCAATGTGAAGAAGGATCTGGGAATTCTGGTCATAGACTCAATAATAGCATGCAATGCCAATCTGCAGTTTCTAAGCTAGCAAAATTCTCTCATATCAGAAGAGGTATAGACTCCAGAGACAGACATAATTTCGCTCCTGTACAAATCATTAATAAAACCTCATGTGGAATATGCACTTCAGTTATGGGCACCAGTTCACAAAAAAAAGAATATTTGTGAACCGGAGAAAGTGCAGAGAAGGGCAACCAAACTGATAAGGGGCATGGAGGAGCTCAGCTATGAGGAAAGATTAGAGGAACTGAATTTATTCTCTTTTGATAAGAGGAGATTATCTGCTTCCCATCCGCCCTATAACAGATATACTGCTACAGGGTGGCATGGGTGCGCAAAATCACGTATATATACACGTGATTTAGCATTTCTGGGTAGGGGGGCGCGCATGCTCTACCCGCACCACCATTTGTGTCCACGGCTATCAATCACCGGGTCCCGGCCAGTGATTACTCGCCAGCGCCTGGTGATTTCTGACAGGGAGAACTGTTTTGTTTACTAACAGTTCTCCTCCCAGTCAGCCCTGGCACACTGCTTTGGATGGTTGTGCAGTTCTCCTCCCAGGCAGCTCGGGCAGTGTGGTGTGCTTACAGTGAAGCACACAGACACAGCCCCCTAGTAAAACACTCCCAAGCACACAGTTAACCCTTTGATTGCCCCTCATGTTAATGCCTTCCTGCCCAGTGCCATTAGTACAGTGTCAGTGCATTTTGTTTTAATGCTGATAACTGTATTGGTGTCACTGGGGATGTCAGTGACCCAAGTCAGTTCCCCCCCAGTGTCAGAATGTCCACCGCAATCCTGCAGTCCTGGCTATAAGTCGCTGATAGCTGCCATTACTAGTAAGAAAAAATAAATTCCAGTATCTATACCACCATTTGTAAACGCTAAAACTTCCAGTATCTAAAACGCAATTGTCAGTTAAAGTAACGCAGCGCCGTAACGCAAAAAATGGCCTGGTCAGGAAGGGGGGTAAATCCTCAGGACAAGTGGTTAAGGGGGATATGATCAACATGTATAAATACAGAAGTGGTGCAAATCATGAATTTGGTATTGTCCTATTCACTTTCAGGTCATTTAGCCTTCACACACGGAAAGGCTTCTTCAGGGCTGTGAAAATATGGAACAGACTTCCTAAAGCACTGCTTGTGGCTAGCTCATTAGATTTCTTTTTCTAACAAATTGCTGGCTGTACAAAATAAAACTGGATAATAATTAGAGGTAATAATGACAGGGGTAGTTGATCCAGGGAATATTCCATTATTGAATGGGGAAGGGGGGGGTTCAGAATGTTATTTTTTTCATTTCATTTTTCATTTTTGGATCATGCTTAGTTTTTTTTATTTTTGCCTTCTGTCGGTATAGGATTGTATACATGGAGGTTGTCTATTGGAGTGTGTGTTTTGGTTTTTAATTATTGGTTCAGCTAGACGGGTTAGTGTTTTTTTTTCAACCTCACTGTGTTAATGTAACTATGACAAGCTCTTGGTCGTGGCATCTGATTGACAGTCAGTGGGATGGGCTCCTGATCAAAGGATCAATGTGAGAACCAATCACAGCGGTCATGTGATCAGGAAGCTGGTCCTTCCCCCTACATTAACCTCTTTCCAACCACGCTATAGCCGAAAAATGGCTACAGCGCAGTTCCTCTAGTTCTGGGAGGGAATCCAAGGACATCCTCCCAGAAGATGCCAGCGGAGTGCTTCCGACACTGCCGGTGACCGCTGTGTCTTACGGACACAGCTGATCACATGATGTGGTAAAATGTCAATCACAGCAGCCTTTTACCACGTCATCAGCTGTGTCCAATGACACAGATCACCAGGTAAACACAGTTGCCGGTTATCTGCTGCACTTTCCTCACGCTGTCACAGCATAAGTACTGTCGATAACTGGCAATTGTCAGAGATCGGCACCCACCTGTGCCCAGAAGGTGCCACCCACCTGTGCTGCCCATCAGTGCTGCCTATCTGTGCAGCCTCATCAATGCACATCAGTGAAGGAGAAAAATTACCTGTTCACAAAATGTTACAATAAAAAAAAAGAGAAAACTTTTTTTGTTCAAATTTTTTTTGTTGTTTTGTTTATAGGAAAAATAAAAAAACACCCAACGGAGAATAAATAACACCAAAAGAAAGCTCTATTTGTGTGGAAATAAAAATAAAAATTTTTGTATGGGTACAATGTTGCATGACCATACAATTGTCAAAGTGCGACAGCGCTGAAAGCTGAAAATTGCCTGGGCAGGAAGGGGGTATAAGTGCCTGGTAAACAAGTGGTTAAAGCCCATTTAAAGGGGGAACACTCTGTGAAGGGGATAAATTACAAATATATTTCTGGTCCTAAATATTCCCTGATACACTTCCTTTTAATCAACTATTTTCATCTTAAAAAGTACAGTGAGCAATATATAAATTATCCTTAGATCAAACAGTACTACAAGAACACTTCAATCATAAGAGAACAAACCTACCTTGTAAACCTGTGGGATGACTATGTAGAAATGTTTGTTTTGTTCAGCGTTGAAGTTTTGCAGTTGGGCAGCATATTCATTTTTACTCTCGTCAGCCATGTGTGTTCGCAGATTAAGCTGCTGTTTTGCCTGTTTCAAAAAAAGAAAAAAAAGAAAAGAAAAAACAAAAAGTAATATAAATAATAAAATAATATATTTTTAATATTAAAATAAAGTGTGCCTTGTGTGCAGGCCATATAGTTTTCGTGTAGGCAGCGGTCTCCAAGACGGCTCCCGTCTGGTCTACAGAAGTGCATCATTCTGGAGCCAGACATGACGTCAACGTGCATAGCGCGGTTGTGATGCACGCTGGGGACCACACAATGGTCGCCATTTTCCTCTCCAGCGGATGTGATCCGCAAATGGGAGGAAATATGCACATTACATCCACAGTGGACTCTATAAAACGCCCTAATTGGCATGATCAGACACAGCTTTCAGCATGCAGCCTGACTTTGGGAGGAAACACACACATTGTGCCTGACGCTGACCCCTTAGAGGGTCATGACTTGAATAACAAAGCAAAGCTCCTAGTACTTAATTTGACCCCTTGGAGAAAATACTACCATATTATTTTGCAGCTTGTGGTGAGCTAAAAAGATATGCTTGTTTCTAAACATCAGGAGCTATATAGTTTCCATGTTTAGTGCATTTTTCTGTTAGTTGTATTATAATACCTACTATGGGAGATGACCGATTTAATCTATAGGCCTTTACCCATAAATGCTTGAGGATATATATCCCGTGATCGAAATAGTTTTGTATTATGTCCCCATTAATATTAGACAAGGGGATATGGAGTTTCACAAACTCATTCCCACCTTTCTATCTATATTGATGAGGCTTTGTACCCTTCATATATTTTATTGCATCAACATGTGCTTTGACAGTGTTTGTGATGTGGCACCCGTGGTCCTTGCCCATCAAAATGATGGCTTCATTTTTGGAGGAAACTCCTATGGTTTGTTATACTATCAACATAATAACAAAAGGTACTTATTGATAATTGACTATTGATAATAATTACTGTTATAGAGTGGTATCTTATCCCTGAGGGAAGAATTTATGTCAATACATTCGAAACACGTTGGATCCCAGGCTGAATATATTTGCAGTCAAAATCTGAGGTTGCAAGATGGAAAACAGCTTTTGGGGGATACCACTGGCATATGTATCGCAATAACTACAACTCTTTGACGTGAAATAAGTTGTTAAAATTACTCTGTATTGGCGAACATACTGGGGTTTATTTACTAAAGCTGGAGAGTCCAAAATCAGACTCCCTTCTGCATAGAAACCAATCAGCTTCTAACCTCAGCTTGTTCAATGAAGCTTTGGCAATGAAACCTGGAAGCTGATTGGTTTCTATGCAGAAGGGAGTCTGATTTTGGACTCTCCAGCTTTAGTAAATAAACCCCACTATGTCTATTGTGTATGTGCCAATTTGCAAAACAAAAGAAATTTGTTTAAACAAAATGTTGAACCTTTTATATAATTGGTTTGTTTATGTACAATTTAAAGTTGCCCTAAAAATCCCATTACATGTAAGATACAGTTCTCTATTATATATAGAAAGCTCAAGGTCTTATCGTGAATAATGTCTTAACAGGACATAAAGAATAGGGCATTTGGTGCCTAGGTTACACTAAGCAAGTTGTAAATATTGATAAATCTAAAATAGGGATCTCTTTATCATTCATTAAATAAACCAGACAACCACAGTCATCTGACTAAAACGCATCCACAAGTGACCTGCGATGCCATTTCAGATGGAACAGTGCTGAGAATTTTAGCAACTAGATCTTGCTACTCAGAATCTTTGAGACTGTACATATTACCCATCAACACCACGTTTTCTGTGGGTTCACCTTTTAGAGGAAATATAAAACCTAGAATTGCAGCAAGTGGTGTGGGGGTATACAGTTGCACAAACTATCCTCCTGTCTGGTAATCCTAAAGAACGACCCTAACAGATGTCTGACCGGCCTAAAAAAATGGCTATCGCAAAGTACTAGTCTGCACTTAAAAACCATGACAAAAAGCATCTCTTATATTGCTACCTTTTGGTCTGCTAAATAGAACATAAAATGTGATTTGTTACATCTGTTCAAGTTAATTTGATGTCCTAGATCAGTTATCTTTTACCAAATAATGTACTGTGAAGGACTGTCATCAGACTCCAGCTCTCTCTTCAAATTTATGCTTATGAGGTGAACAGGAACCTGAGTTGTTGAAGCCAACATCCCTGATCTTGTAATGTCCTTTAGTAAGCTGATAACAGTTTCTCAGCTGCACTGAATACCCATAGCACCTTTTCAGTCAGCCTCAGCTCACAACTGAACTATAGAACAACTACCCTTTATTGTTACGATGAAAGTGGGGAGGTATTCTGTAATCTAAGTCAAGAAAAAAAAGCAGCCCAGGGTGACATAGCTGCTTCCACTTAGATACAGTACAGTGAGACAGCAGTGCTATCCTAGGACAGAATGGGGGTTGATTTCTGAAAACTGTAGAGTGCAAAATCTGGTGCAGCTGTGTATGATAGCCAATCAGCTTTTAACTTCAGCTTGTTCAATTAAGCTTTGACAATAAAACCTGGAAGCGGTTTGGTTTCTATGCAGAGCTGCACCAGATTTTGTACTCTCTCCAGTTTTAGTAAATCAACCCCTATTTTTTTTTGGCACGTACTGAAATTTTTACATTAGCTTTGTGAAATTCATTCTAAGAGAAGACAAAGTTTGTTCCTGGTTAACTGTTCCATAATTCAGGAATGAGGTGAATATGGAACATGCAAAATATATCAATGTAATGCTTGCCGACTCTTAAAGGCTCGTGGTGGAAGATTTTGCTTCTTAATGTGACAAAGCACATTAGTAGCTTTTGCCTAGGCACTCTCTCTTCTTAATATCCCAGAGAAGCTCACATGGAGTTTGACAAGCATACCCCCACCCATGCCTGTTTCTGATTACATCAATGTGTCATCAGGCAGCTGGGATCTAGGAACAGGAAGAACTGTTCCATAGACACACTGTGTACTGGACAAATAAACAGCAAAATGCCTACTGCTATAGCATTCACAGCTGACAGACTCTGGACACTGAGGGATGTGGTTTCCCGAATATAGGTCACTGTAATCACTATTGTTACTACTACAGTATGGTTACCTTCTCTACATCTGACTTGGTGGCATTACTGTCATTGTCCATCCTCTCATAGGTCTGCTGTGCCTTCTCTGCTTCCTTGCATTCTCGTTCAAATTTCTTTTTACTCTGCAAGAAAAAAACATACATGCTAATAAGAGGGATTATATATATATATATATATATATATTATATATATATATATATATATATATAACATATATACATACACACACACACACACACACACACACACACACACACACACACACAAAATAAAGCATTCAAATAATACATTGACAATATCAAGAATGTATTATGTTATAATAGACAAGTACAAGAACCCAAGCCTCTGTTATCGCACAGTGGTGAGCATTTGGAGATACAGAGCACTGATATTTGTATTGCCTGTCCCGGTCAACCCCCACGAATTTTGGGTGAACAGCTTGACGTCTATAAACCTTGCGCAAACAAAGCCTTAAATATAAGAGGAAAAAAAAATCCTTTTGTAAAAATGCTCTGGGAAATTTCAAAAGCTCAACAATCACTTCTATCATTCTAGTCCACACACTTAGGCTTGCCATAAGGATGCGGTTGATTTCCTGCAACCACAGAAGGAGGGAATGTTGGGTCGTGGGAAGCCGCCCCTGTCAGAACACAGCGATTATTGCTAGCGGCCATAGCCACTGGCAAGAATGGCATGAAAAGAAAAAAAAAAAAAAAATCAGACAGACTGGTTTTACTCAGGTTGTACAGTAATCGAAATTGAGTACATTAGCTTGTCCATAGATTGTTTGAATCTCAGCTGGTCCCTGCTGAACTGAGATTTGAACCATCTATGGCTGGCTTTACACACCTCTGTTAAACACAAGCTGGTGACCTGCTGCACTAAAGCAATGCAGCTTGGTCAAGACCAAAAGCATGAAGGAGGAGAGTGGAGGAACAGTACATTGATGCGCTGGTCTCTGTTGCTCCCTCTCCACCTGCCAGCACATGCAGGACACTTGACTGGCAACCCTTCCTCTTGACCATACAGTGGATAATAAAAAGCTGATATCAAGATAAATTCTGGTACTATTTACATTTAAAAAATAAAATGTATATACAGTTGTGTTCAAAATAATAGCAGTCAGACATCACTAACCTGATCAATCACTGTTTTTTTGGTAGAAATGATATTTCTACATGGCAAATAATTTACTAGCAGGTGTAGTAGAGTAATAGAAATCCAACAGACCCAACAGTCACGACATGCATGCTGCCGATTCCGTGTAATTGAATCACTAATAGAAAGGGGCATGTTCAAAATAATAGCAGTGTGGAGTACTATTAGTGAGGTCATTCATTCTTTGAAAAACAGGTGGAAAATTATTGCCCTTATGTAAGGAAGGAAGGCAGCAAATGTTGTACATGCTGGTTACAGCGCATTGCTCTCTGAAATTCTGAGGACAATGGGTTGTTCCAGACATTGTTCAGAAGAACAGCGTACCTTGATTAAAAAGTTGATTGGAGATGGGAAAAACATATAAAGTGCAGAAAAATAATAGGCTGCTCACCTAAAATGATCGCAAATGCTTTAAAATGGCAACCAAAACCTGAAAGATGTGGAAGAAAGCGAAAAACTACCATTCGAATGGATAGAAGAATAGCCAAAATGGCAAGGACTCCGCCAACAATCAGCTCCAGGAAGATCAAAGAAGGTCTAAAGTTCCCTGTGAGTACTGTTACAATTAGAAGACGCCTATGTGAAGCCAAGCTATCTGCAAGAAGCCCCCGCAAAGTCCCACTGTTGAAAAAAAGACATGTGCTGAAGAGGTTACAATTTGGCAAAGAGCACATTGACTGGCCTAAAGAGAAATGGCACAACATTTTGTGGACTGATGAAAGTAAGATTGTTCTTTTTGGGTCTAGTGGCCGGAGACAGTTTGTCAGACGACCCCCAAACACTGAATTCAAGCCACAGTACAGTGTGAAGACAGTGAAGCATGGTTGCGCAAGCATCATGATATGGGGATGTTTCTCATACTACGGTGTTGGGCCTATTTATCGCATACCAGGGATCATGGATCAGTTTGAATATCATCAGAATACTTGAAGAGGTCATGCTCCTTATGCTGAAGAGGAAATGCCCTTGAAATGGGTGTTCCAACAAGACAACGACCCCAAACACACCAGTAAACGTGCAACATCTTGGTTCCAGACCAACAAGATTGACGTTATGGAGTGGCCAGCCCAATCCCCGGATCTTAATCCAATAGAAAACTTGTGGGGTGACATCAAAAATGCAGTTTCTGAGGCAAAACCAAGAAATGGCGAAGAATTGTGGCATGTAGTCCAATCATCCTGGACTGTAATACCTGTTCACAGGTGCCAGAAGTTGGTTGACTCCATGCAACACAGATGTACAGCAGTTCTCAGAAACAGTGCTTATACAACCAAATATTAAGTGATTCAAAAGAAAGCAAAATCTTCTAACATTTTTCACTTTATATAGTGAATGTTTGAGTTTGTAAAGAAGAATACAAACACTGCTATTTTTTTGAACAGTCTAATATTCACTTTTCTACTTTTTTTTTTTTTGTAGAGGAACGCAAATTTGATATACTTTTCTTCATGTTTTGATTTGGAATAGAATGTGTAGTGTTCCCAAAGCATTTGTGTGTATGGAAATAAAAGCTATTAGAAGGATTTTGAGCTTTCACTTTTTTCAACACACTGCTATTATTTTGAACACAACTGTATATCATTTTGTTTATAGGTCTGGAGTTTGGCTCTAATTTGTAACTTCATTTCACCATATTCTTTTGCAGTTTTGATGTCAGACTAACAGCAAAACAGTGGCTATGAACAAACCTTTTATAAAAAGAAAGAATACTCACATTGTCCATCTGTTTAAAGCACATGTCAAGGTACTGCTGGGCTTTCCTCCCCTCCTGAAGATGCTGTAATACAAAAATACTGTCAGGGCTTGTCAGGGTTTGAATACAGAATGCCATTTTAAAAATAAAATAATCAACCTTACTCAAGGGATGGTAAAACAAATTTAACCAAGTAGATAGTAAACAGTAGTGCAAGGTCTGTCAGTTTTGTTTTTTTTTTTTATATTTTGAAAAAACTGTACACTTTAAAACACTAAAACCACAACTGAAGCTGCAAAATTGTCCCAAAAAGGACAACAAAAGCTAGGTTTGTTCACCTTGATGTAAAAAAAGGGGACACCTGCCCAATGTCTCCAGCCACCAAGCAAAGTAAGGATTATTGACCCAGATGGCTTCTGTGTTCACCAAGCTCTGTTATCACTTCCATAAGATAAATGTGTCTACACAGGGCATACTTGTGTTCACTTGCACTAAAATAAGCATTCATCATTCTACAAAACTAAGCATGTCTTATTTTCCAGGCATCTCATATCCTAATGTAGCCATAGGACTGAGCCTAACCAGCACATTTTAAAAGGGCTGCATTTAAACACATTGATGATGACTATCCGTAAATTCATGGCCATGTAGTACCAGAATTTCTACCATTTTTCCAATGGGGGAACTGTTCTACATTTTCAATACTGTATATGCATTTTGACATCATCACATCAAACTAAATGCGAAAGGTGAAAATGTATACCGATTTTCTCTCTGATTTCAGGTCGCAGGAATATCTCATTATTTCTGCATAAACTTTGTGTCCCATCTCTTCTGCCACCACTTCACGCTGTCCAGCATAATCATTCAGTTCATTGAGGATATTATAGAAGGATGCACAAGATGTGAACCTTACAAAAAAAAGCAACACAGAAAAAAAGTCATTTTAAAAACTTTCTTTTTTATACCTGAACCCATCTTTAAAGGGCAAGTTCCCCTTTAGAATATGTTACACCTGTATTAAGGGTGTAACATGTTCCAGCACACCTCCCCACATCTCCTGAGCCCTCATCTCCAGCTCCCAGTCAAGGACTGGCACCTTAGGGGAGCAGGCCGGGGCACCTGAATATGACAGGTACCTGCATCCACGTCTGCTGCAAATCGCCTTGGCGATCGGAAGCGGAGGTTGTCCTCTCCCACCTCCCCCCGTGGAACTAAGGGACCATTCACAAAGTGCAGCGCTACTCACCCATGCGCAGTGGGCACCTGGCTGTGACAGCTTGCAGCTTCACACACACCGTGCCCACACTGAAGATGCCGCGGAGAGAGGACGGCTGATGAAACCAGCTGTAGTAAAGACACCGCTGGATCAAGGAGCAAGTGAGTGTCTGTTATTTAATAGTCAGCAGCTAGAGTTTTAGTAGCTGCTGACTTTTTTTTTTATGGCTGGAGCTCTGCTTTAAGTCAAATATTTTAGAACTCTATCCCATTCAATATAGCAATGAAGTGAAACTTCAGGGAAACTAAACAATCACAATACTGTAAAGTGTATGAAATAGCATGAAAACATTTCAACAGAAAAACATAAAAATAAGATTACAGTTGTTTAAAAGGTTATATAAATCCCCAAATATATGCATCCCTATGGTCAGACAGTCACGCCCGCCCCCCCCCCCCCCCCCCCCCCCCCCCCCCCCACAGCCTCTAGTCTCTGGCAGCAGGGGACTCTCTGATGCTAAGCGCTGCCATTCCCCCCCCCCCCCCCCCCCCCCCCAAAAAAAAAGGGCACAACCTGCAGCACTGTGTATTAGTTGCTGCTTTTAGACATACACAACTTGAGTAATCTTCTCAGTTTCTAGGTTATACACTAGACCAGTCTGACAGCGCTGATTGTTTATACATTAGATCACTAGTTCTGAGGGATCGGTCACTATTATGAGTGAACGATTAGCGCTACTTGTTCATTCATAATAGTAAAAGACTCAGATGTAGCTCTGTGCACTATATATTTGGCAGCTTTTGCTTCATACAAGGCATAGGCTGATACTTTACTCAAGAGTCAAAGCCCTTTGTCATCTTTTACCATCATGAATGAAGCAGCAATGAGTGTGAATTCATAACAGTGATAAACCACACAGCTTAGAGTGCTCTGTGCTTGCTTTACCCCCCCCCCCCCCCCCCCAATAATTTGGGCTACAAAAGGTTTATGAAGCTACAGCCAGCATATAAAGCTGCATTATGGGTTCTAATAGCCATTCACTCAGAACAGAATCTTGCCACATGGTCCCCTTGGAAGTTAAAATCTTAAAAAAAAAAAAAAAATAGATCTACTGCAAGGACACAAATGAAACAGTTGTCTACCATTTTAAATGAGTGGTTTGTAGAGGAAATTGCATCACGGCCTGATTTACATGTCTTGCTATGCCTTGCTGCCACATAGCAAAGCCAAACAGACTTGCTAATAAAAGCAAGCCTTTTGGAGCATTGCAACGAAAATGTTGAAAATAATTGACATACCTTGGTTCTTCATCTTTAGATGATCTCTTTGGACAATATTTCTTCACCAAATTCCTAAAAAAAAAAATGTTTACAGATTAAATAGTCCAACTAAAACATGTTTTTGTGACAGAAAAAAAATTATTTTTAATAAGACAAAAAAAAAAAAAAATAACGGTCAAAGAAGCTTTCATGGCTTTCATCAGTGGCAGTTTCCTTTAACTGTGTAGAAAGTGTTGTACTTCAAACATCCTTGCAATTATGTCTGAAAAGTGAAACCATGCTTCAATTACTTCAAAGTATTTAGAAAAATTTAAACAAAGCTTCTGCATCATGACAAATATCTACCCATACTTCAATCTGTTCACTAAAAATGCAGATAAACTGGATTTCATACAATTACGATGTGCTGCAACAGGCATAAAACATTCATACATAAATGATGTTCAGTACTTCCTACAAGTCATTAAGTTGTATTTGCGAAGTAAGAAGGTTTGTATAAACTATTACAAACTACGGTCATTAAAAAAAATAAACAAACGTGATGCACTAACTCCCTATTCAAATGGAGAATTTTAAACAAATGCAATGCTGAATTAGATAGCAATAGTCCAATCCAATATGCAAAAAAAGTTCTGGTATTGCAATCTCATCACAAATTCCACACACCATGCATTTGCAACGAATCACCACATTTGTTAATTTTTTTTTATTTAACGTAAGAGTACACTTGGAGATCGAGTGCAGCAATCTCACTCTCTTTTTTCATACTTTTATGTTATAGCAGCACACTAGTTTATTATATTTTCACTTTAAACTAGGGTCATTGCAAAACAATGCTAGCTGTCTGGCAGACCCTCAAGCTTTAAGCATCTTTCCTTTCAAGACTGGTTAAACAGTGCCTAAAGCAACACCACTGAACGGCAACACCATGCTATGACTAAGTATTTCTGTTCTATAAAAATTGATTTCTGTGTACTTGTTAAGGAATATGTAAACCCATGTTTATGTTATTTTATATACAGTTAGGTCCATATATATTTGGACACAGGCACAGTTTGTTATTTTTCAAAATATATTCAAGCTATAGTTATATAATGGATATGGGCTGAAAGTGCACACTCTCAGGTTTAATTTAAGGCTATGTACATCCAAATTGGAAAAAGGGTATAGGAATTACAGCTCTTAAGAGTAGCCATTCCACCTTTTTCAAGGGATCAAAAGTATGAATATGAATATGTTTTGGTAAATGCCTGAAAAAAAAAAAAAAAAAACCTAAAAATGTGCCTGTGTCCAAATCTATATGGACCTAACTCTATATACACACACATACATTATATACACACACACATATACATATACATATATATATATATATATATATATATACATATATATATATATATATATATATATATATATATATATACATACAACACACACACACACACACACACACTAGAAATATAGAAATATATATATATATTTTTTTTTATAAGTGACCACATTCCCTCTGTTCTCAGCTGCATAAGGCTTAGAGAGCTAGGGGTGGAGAAACAGCAGAACAAGAATCTTCCCAGTAAATGGCTGCGTAGGGGAGTGTGTCCTCACAAGTCTGATCATTGAGTACAGGCAGGCTGTGCTCCCAACAAAGACAGAAAGCAGAGTACACTGGGATGGATATGCTCTCATGCCTAGCGTGGTCAGTTTAAAATAGCAAAACGGGGGTTGGCAGGATCACCAGGTATTTCACACAAATGTAAAAATACAAAAACATTGGGCCAATGCAGGTAATGTCATAATGTGCTAGCATGCACTGCATACTAGCACATTATGACAGACTTACCTGAAAGCTAAGCGCTCCAGTGGCATGCTGTCACAGGTCCCAGCGTATCCATCTTCATTTGGCCATTTCAATGACGTCACTTCCTCACATGTGCATGGGAGCCACGGCCCTAGCACAGCACCCTGAATGGATGGCATCGTCAATTCAGAATGCAGTGTGTCTACGCCAGTGACATCACGGCTGTTACAAAAATAAATTATCTCCTAAATGATGTCTATTTAGGAGATATTTACTGTACTTACAGGTAAGCCTCATTATAGGCTTGCCTGTAGGTATAACTAAGCATGATGAACTTTACAACCTATTTAAAGGATCCACGGTCACCAATCAAATATTACCTCCAACCTGGTGAATACATGTTGTATTATATACAAAGGACAGTAACTGCAGCAAACAAACGGAGCTGAAAACACTGTGCTTTTTGAAGTGCTCTGAAATACACGCCCAAATTACATATGTGTTACAGTCGTGGTTAAAGTATTTGTTAGAGCAAATTATATAAAAGAAAAATATATTGTAAAAAAATTTGTTATAAGAACAGGGTAAAAGGAAAAAAGAAGAAGCAGGGCCATGCTGTAGGAGGGAAGTTTGCAGGTGTATGAGTAATGTCTGGGTATACATTTTAACCACAAATATGTTCAGGACACACATGCCAATGTGCATCAGGACAGCACGTGTTGGGCTGTGTCTAAATACGGAGCTACTAACCTATGTGCCCAAGCCTGAAGACCAGACAAGCCCAGACTGAAGTTTGAGTGACTTGCTTGTAAATAAAAAGATAACCATAATATTCCTATCAATAGATAACAATCCACAGGAATCCTACTATAGGATAAAAAAACAATGCAGAAATAACATTTGAAACGCTCAAACTGAAAACTTCATGTATAGATGACAAACAACCGTGATGTCAAACTATTTTTTTTTTTTCTAAAATCAGATCTACCCTCCAAAGCTCATACTAATACAGAAGCTACTGTAAGGAGAACACAGGAGGTTTATTCTAAAGGAAATACTAGGAGCAATTTGATCTTCCTAAGCTCAGCAATACATTCTCCTGTCACTGTGGAAAAGCACCACACACAATACAAAGAGAATTAGTGATTCCAGCCATCCAAAGCACACTGTTTACAACTCGCAAATCATTTTCTCCAATACAGAGGTTCCTCTACTTTTTTTGTTATTTTTGTTCATGCAGATTCTAAACACACCTCATTATCATTCATTAGGTGAAATCCATAACAATGTGGTATCCTGGCAACCAAGCATTGGCCCCTTCATAAAGGGTCCCTCTGGCATTTACAGATAGCAGGAAGTAAACTGGTTCACAGAGCATGCAAAAAGGAGGTGATGACTTCTTAAAGCTGGCTACCAGGAAGAATCTTCTAAAAACATGCTAAAAGGATTTCCTTCCAAATCCCAGAAGTTGATCTAATAGCTCTTTCCTTGCAGCAAGGGGGACATAGAAAAAGCAAGGAATGGATTGATATTTACACATATGAAAAGGGGTAATATATATACTATATTGGCAAAAAGTATTGGGCCAACCCTCCAAATCTTTGGATTCAGTTGTTCCAATCCCCTCCATGGTCACATGTGTATAAAATCAAGCACCTAGGCATGCAGACTGCTTTTGCAAACATTTGTGAAAGAATGGGTCGCTCTCAGGAGCTCAGTGAATTCAAACGTGGTACCGTGATAGGTTGCCACCTGTGCAATAAGTCCATCCGTGAAATTTCCTTGCTACTAAATATTCCATGATCAGCTGTTAGTGGTATTATAACAGAGGAAGCAACTGGGAACAACAGCAACTCAGCCACGAAGTGTTGGGCCGCGTAAATTGACAGAGCGGGGTCAGCACATGCTGAAGCTTACAGTGCAGAAGTCGCCAACTGTCTGCAGAGTCAATAGCTAAAGACCTCCAAACTTCATGTGGACTAATCTAAACACCATGGTGTGTAGAGAACTTCATGGAATGGGTTTCCATGGCCGAGCAGCTGAATCCAAGCCTTATATCACCGCATGCAATGCAAAGCGTTAGATGCAGTGGTTTAAAGCATGCCGCCACTGGACTCTAGAGCAGTGAGGAAGTGTTTATCTGGAGTGAAGAATCATGCTTCTCTGTCTGGAAATCCGATGGCCGTGTCTGGATTTGGCAGTTGCCAAGGAGAATGGTACTTGCCTGATTGTATTGTGCCAAGTGTGGTGGAGGGGGGATTATGGAGTGGGGTTGTTTTTCAGGGGTTGGGCTTGGCCCCTTACTTCAAGTGAAGGGAACTCTTAAGGCGTCAGCATACAGAGACATTTTGGACAATTTAATGCTTCCAACTTTGTGGGAACAGTTTGGGAATGGCCCCTTCCTGTTCCATCATGACTGCGCACCAGTGCACAAAGTAAGGTCCATAAAGACATGGATGAGGGAATTTGGGATGGAGGAAATTGACTGGCCTGCACAGAGTCCTGACCTCAACCCGATAGAACACCATTGGGATGAATTAAAGTGGAAACTGCGAGCCAGGCCTTCTTGTCTGACATCAGTGCCTGACCACACAAATGTGCTTCAGAAAGAACTTTTTCAAGAAGAGCTGAAGCTGTTATAGCTACAAAGGGTGGGTCAACTCAATATTGAACCCTACGGACTAAGACTGGGATGCCATTAAAGTTCATGTGCGTGTAAAGGGAAGTGTCCCAATACTTTTGGCAATATAGTGTATTTACTGAAATTGTCTGTAAAAGGTTCACTCCCTACTCTATGGCTGTAATGTTGAAGGCCAATTGAACTTTCATTTTGATACAGCTAAAACCTTCCATCAAAACAATGTGTTCAAGTGATGTTTTTCTTTAGAAAGCTCCCTGTCCACTGCCAGCATACTGCACAGAAGGAGCCATGCTCAGGAATCAGTGATCTCTCTGCAGTAGTTCAATATGCAAACAGCAAAACCTACACTCCCAGCTGACTGGTGAGTTCTAAGCTCTGTCACTGCTGGAGGTGAGCCAGACCTCCGCAAAGAGAGCACTGCTTCCAAAGAGACAGTCCTACATAGCACTCTGGCAATGGGCAGGCCTTTATACTGCAGCTGTGGCTGCTTCCTAAACTGTTTAAAATCAGTTAAAAGCATTCGAGGTGCATCAAAACAAAGGTCTGCCATTTAGAAAGCAGCCACAGCCTGAACGAAAAAGCTTTTACCCTGCAAGTATGCTGCACAGAATAAACCAAGATAGTGAGTGCTTAAAAAAAAAAAAAAAATGTGTATATATATATATATATATATATATATATATATATATATATATATATAATATATATATATATATATATATATATATATATATATATATATGAATGAGACAGTTGCCCTAAACATATCTACATATTGCACAAAGTGTCCATAAACACAAGTGAATACATACAATTTAATTGTGCTCATAAAGTGCCAGTGATTATATGTAACCAAAGCCCATAAAAAACTATCCCAAAAGAATATCCCATCACCCAATCATAAAGCACCTCCATAGATCGCTCCTCAGTACAGCCGGAAATACAACCGGAACGGAATCTTAGGAGAAAGCGCTCACCACACGGAGCCCAATGGAATAATATACCGTATTTGCCGGCGTATAAGACGACTGGGCGTATAAGACGACCCCCCTACTTTTCCTGCTAAAATGTAGTGTTTGGGCTATACTCGCCGTATAAGACTACCCCTCTTCCAGTGCACACCAGTGGGAGGAATAGTGCCCCATCATCGGTATCAGTGGGGGAATAGTGCCCCATCATTGGTATCAGTGGGGGGAATAGTGTCCCATCATTAGTATCAGTGGGGGGAATGGTGCCCCATCATTGGTGTCAGTAGGAGGAATAGTGTCCCCAACATTGGTGTCAGTGGGAGGAATGGTGTCCCAGTGCCCCATCGTTGGTGTCAGTGGGGGTGGAATAGTGCCCCCATCATTGGAATGTCGTGGTGGTGGGGGTGGAATAGTGCCCCATCGTTGGGGGGTGGGAATAGTGTCAGTCAGTGGGGGGTGGAATAGTGCCCCATCGTTGGTGTCAGTGGGGGGAGGAATAGTGCCCCATCGTTGGTGTCAGTGGGGGGGAGGAATAGTGCCCCATCATAGGTATCAGCGGGAGGAATAGTGCCCCATCATTGGTATCAGCGGGAGGAATAGTGCCCCATCATTGGTATCAGTGGGAGGAATAGTGCCCCATCATTGGTATCAGTGACACCAATGATGGGGCACTATTCCTCCCACTGACACTTGCTGACTCTGTTCTCGTATGGTGCTGCTGCAGCCAGCATATGTGGTTGCAGCAGCACCTCTACACTGACCACTTACCTGCTGGTCCTGCACTCGATTTTCCGCGCGGCCGCTCGGCTCCACCCTCTCGCCGTGATTGGCCACCTGTGTGCCTTTCCTGAGCTACAGTTCTGGCGGCCAATCGCTGGTGAGGAGGCGGAGCCGAGCAGCCGCGCGAACTCCAGTGGCCGAACTGAAGGCGCAGCCGTGCTTCCTGGACCGGATCGTCGTGGGACCGGAAACCAGGTAAGAAATAGCCCCTGCCCACCCCTGTACTTAGTGTCCCTTCCGTTAGGGGAAGGGGGGGGGCGGCGGCGGCACCGCGCGCCGCCCCCCTAAAAAGTGTCATGTCATGTTATACCGGCGTATAAGACGACCCCCGACTTTTGAGAAGATTTTTAAGGGGTAAAAAGTCGTCTTATACGCCGGCAAATACGGTATAGTGTAGTATTTAATGTTTAAAAGGTCAATATTAAAACCAACTATGACAGTGGTGGGCAACCTTTTTTTTCAACTGAGCCAAATCTCGCCAAAAAACCACGATTGAAATTTATTTTGAGAGCCACATTTTTAAAACTGAAAATACATCTCCCATATAGTAATTCATCCCCCATAGTAATTCATCCCCCATAGAGTAATTCATCCCCCATAGAGTAATTCATCCCCCATAGAGTAATTCATCCCCCATATAGTAATTCATCCCCCATAGCAATTCATCCCCCCATAGTAATTCATCCCCCATATAGTAATTCATCCCCCCATAGTAATTCATCCCCCATATTAAGTTTATCCCCCATCCCCCATAGTAATTCATCCCCCCTATAGTAATTCATCCCCCCTATAGTAATTCATCCCCCCTAATAGTAATTCATCCCCCCTATAGTAATTCATCCCTCCCCTATAGTAATTCATCTCCCCATATAGTAATTCATCTCCCCATATAGTAATTCATCTCCCATATAGTAATTCATCCCCCATATAGTAATTCATCCCCCATATAATAATTCATCCCCCATATAGTAATTCATCCCCCATATAGTAATTCATCCCCCCCATATAGTAAGTCCCCCCCCCCATATAGTAAGTCCCCCCCCCCCATATAGTAAGTCCCCCCCATATAGTAAGTCCCCACCCCCCCATATAGTAAGTCCCCACACCCCATATAGTAAGTCCCCCCCCCATATAGTAAGTCCCCCCCCCATATAGTAATTCATCCCCCTGTGTCAATTCACTTACCTTTGCTCCCGCGCGTTCCTCTTGCCGTGCTTCCCGCGCCGTTCTGGTCTTCAGGGCGGACTGTGAGAGGAGAGGAGTTCGTCACGCTGCCCCCGCCTACATCCTGGCTGCCCCGCCTACATCCTGACAGCTGCAGAGTCCTGACTTTTGGGGCAGGGGTCCGCTACGCCGAGAGGAGGGAGGGGGAGCGGGCGGCCGCCCGAGAGAGGAGGGAGGGGGAGGGGAGGTGAGGGGGCGGCCGCCCTGCACACGCCCGTCCGAGGAGGGGAGAGGAGAGGGAGGGGAGGGAGGGAGGGAGAGGGAGGGGAGGGCGGGAGGGAGGGGTCTCGGGCACACAGAAGAGGGAGGCATTTAAGCTTGTAAAGGAGCCGCATTGTGGGGAGGGCTCGCGAGAGCCGCGCGCCGACACACAGAAGAGCCGCATTTAAGCTTGTAAGAAGGGCTCGCGAGCCCCGGCTATGAACTATGAATCTTCCATGTGCAAACAAACCTTTGCTGCCGGACTTGCTAACATGGCCGCCCTTTTGACCTTGTGAATGGCGGAGTGACGTCAGCACGTAAGGCTCCACCAAAAGGAATCCCATATGTGTGTTTTTGCCTTTCCAGGTAGGTGGTGGCACGTGCCTGCCAACCCGGCTGTGCTGTCACTGGCTGCATTACAGTGGGTTCCAGCCAATGATTTATGGCCAAGACCCGTGATCGGTGGAGCGGATGAAGGGAAAGAACTCTGTGGACTGTAAATACAGTGATCTCTACTGACAGCAACAATGTGCCAGTTTTTATCTCCTTGCAAAGCGGAGAATAAAAACCGGCACATCAGCACATATTACACACAGTAAGAACATTACACATTGCTAGACACACATTTAACCCTCTGATTGCCCGTCAAAGTTAACCCCTTTCCAGCCAGTGTCAATATACAGTGATCAGTGCTAATATACACTGACACTGTACTAAGCCCCAGTTCACATATATGCGGCCGTGAGGGCCGCGTATTGCACGGGTACAAGAGCCCATTCATTTGAATGGGACTCCCGTGCACGTGAAACGCAGGGAAGAACCTCGGTTCCCAGTGCGGTTGCGTTTTCCAGTGCGTCCGCATTTCTCTGTGCAGGTGGATTTTCGTGCGGATCTGCAGCGGCACCACCCGCATAGATGTGAACCTATCCTAAGTTTCACTGGTGATGTCAGGGTCAATTAATCAGTTCCCGCAAAGTGTCAGTGTCAGATTGATCACCACACTATCACAGTCCCACTGTAAATCGCTGATTGCCGCCATTACTAGTTTAAAAAAGAAAAAAAATTCTAGTATATATCCCAGTGTTTGCAGACGCTATAACTTTCATGCAAACCAAATTAATATATGCTTACTGTCATTTTTTTAACAAAGAAATGTAGCAGAATACATTTTGGAATAAATATGCAAAAAGAAATTTGATTACATTTTTTTATTGGATATGTTTTTATAGCAGAAAATAAAAAAAAAATTGGGTTTATTTTCATAATTTTCGGCGTTTTTCATTTATACAATAAAAAAAAAAAAAAG